CCCTTGTGTGTGTGTGTGTGAGAGATAGAGAGAGAGAGAGAGAGAGAGAGAGGAGCAATAGAGATAAAATGAATAAAGATAAATGGTAATTTGATATTCTCGTGATAAAAGGTCGAAAAGAATAATGAATATTTCGAGGTACACCACTACACCTCATCTCATTTAGGTTATTTCTCGACGTCAGATATTATATACGGAGTATTAGTTATATATGTAAAGAATAATGTAAGATTATTTATTAATTGTGTCCTTAATTTAGACATGTGATATATTTTTATTATTTAATGGCTAAGTAAATAAATATGTAATTAGTATTATATTATTTAGTTTAATTATAAATTATTTTTTTAATAATTAAATATTAAAAAAGTATTTTTCTATTTGTTCTTTTCTCAACCCATATATCACATCAATTATGTAAACATACTAAAGAACACCTATGGGCGTATAATGTCCACATGTGCAAAAACTAAGAGAGAGAAACTCATCTCCACACCGACTTGATCACTACAAGATTTATTATCTTCGAAAAATTTATATTTAACTATTTATTTATGTATTATAAACACTTGAAAATAATGAGTTGAATTTCAGGTTGATTATGATTTGTGTTTTAATATTCTTGCACAAATATTATAGTATGTTTATTTGTGATTAATACTTGACACGAATAATTATAATTTACAATATAATTATAAAAGTTTGAATTGATAAAGTTAATAAAAAATTTAATATATGTTAAGATGGTGGAACCTAAATCACAAATTTCTTTTGATTGGAATATTGATCGCAATTATATTAGTTTTGATCTCACTAAGCAGTGTTGGCCACAATCGAAGTCAATCAATTGAGATTTGTTTCCTCATTAGAGTTTTCTCTCTCTAAAAATTTGTAGGCTTGAGGAAAAATTATTAACCATGAGTACTAAAACTATGCCGGTATTTTCTTCCCTTTTTTTAAAAAAATTATCACCTCACTTGTTAGACCCATATTTTAATATTCAAAATGGGTAATTACCCATAATGGTTTTGGTGAGTAAAATGATTAATGGGTCCTAAAACAAGCATTAGTACCCTAACCGCATGCCTTTCCCTTTAATTATTCGGATCCCCAAATATTCCCATCCCAATCCGCAAACATTTTCACATTTTTTCCCTTGTTTTTAGAATCCAAAGCAAATATTCTATCTTTACCTCCAAAAATGAGCCGAAAGGTCTCTTTCGCTGTCAGTAATAAGACCATTTCAAATTAGAACTCAAACCAATGACTCCCTAATCAATTTGCTAGGTCCCTGAAGTTGGTAATTAGCACAACATTAGGTCATATCTCCTAACCCAAGAGGTTAAGGTATAATTATTTCATAATTGTGTCAAATAAAAGAGCATGTGAAATAGTACATACAAAAATAGCTAATTTACAAATAAAAAATCTTCAAAAATCAGAGTTCCAATTATGGTCATCCATTTGTCTGGATAATACATATTTAAGTAGGTATTTTTTTAATATTTAAAAATTATTATTAATTTATTGGTACATAAGCTAGTAAACAATATAAAGTAATATGAATTGTAAGCTCAAACATGACCAACCAACACCTGAACTTATAAATTTGAAGTCACTCTTAAGTCTAATCGAGTCAAAAATAAATAAACAAATAAATAAACTTATGAATAATGGTATTCTAATTTTTTTTCAGGAATACATATTTAGTATGGGTTTTTTTTTTTAATATTTAAATATCATTATTCATTTATTAATAACATAAGCTAGTAAAAATGTAAAAAAATAATAATAATATGTATTGCAAACTCAAGCACGAGCGGACGAATACCTTAACTAATTAATTTGAGCTTAATTGCATAAACTTTAGTTTAAATCTCATTTGAGTCAAAAATAAATAAATAAAACTAAAATAACATTGAATTTGATTCAAGGGATTGTAGTCCTAGGTTTGGCTATACACTAATTTTACAAAGAAAATACATCTTTTCATGATAAAGTGTGCATAAGTTGTAAAAGACTAAGGTAGAATAAAGTGTGTATTTTCGGTAAAGAAACAACAAAATATGACTGAAATAAACGAGAAATAGCAATTAGTACTCGCTACTCACAGTCAAATAATGGTGAAAACAAATTAGATGATGAAAACTATCCAACATTACTCGAGTGGTACGTCAATCAGAATCCAGATGGAGGTTGAACCTAAAAAGGACAATACTTTAATCATAGTAGAATATGAAACAAAATTACATCAAATACACTGTATAGGACAAAATTAATAATAATACTATCACAGTGATTCTTTCGGGCTAATATATCTTAATTATCTTTTAAAAAATAAAATAAATAAATATAGTATACAAAATTTAAAATAAATTACATACATCTCTTTTGAAATTTTAAACTAATTATTAGATACTGATATATCATTTAATATTTATTACTTTTATTTCTATGAGATTTGACATGTCAAATTATATTATTGGCCAGCATCATATATTTAATAAAATTTTATTTTAATACTTGCTTTGTTTTAAAAAAATATGAGTCACAATTTTTAAAATAATCATGTATTTTGGGATTGAGGGAGTAATTATCATGAAAATCTTTTAATGAAAAAAAATTTATTAAATAATTAATTTGACATTTTATAAATTCTAAAAAATCTATTTTCATGTTAAACTTAAAAAAAAAAAAATTATTCCTTTTATTTATGAAATTAATATTGGGTGTGTCGGGCGGCACAATGCACCGACTCATTGAATCTGTATAATATGTACAGCTCCGACCAGCCGGTCACGCGCACCCTGAAGAAAGAGAACTGTCGTTACAATATTAATCTAATTTTTACTCACCCTGCCCCCACCAAGTTCACTTGGGTATGTATTCAAAGAAAGTGGACCCCAATTGAGACCAACGAGGAGAGAGAGAGAGAGAGAGAGAGAGAGGGAACCACAGAAACGACACACAACACCCGTGCTTGAGGGGTTAGGGCTCCTGACCCCTATGCCTGAAAACTGGTACCATTGTCAATTATTATCACCTCCTCTTCACTCCACCTCCAACTTTCTTTCTCCCTATAGTATACATATATGTGCTTGTCCTATACTATTCTGTGTCGGGTTAAAAAAAAAAAAAAAAAAAAAAAAAAACCCTTGTACGATTATTTTATTTAAACTCAACATAAAAAAATTATCTTATTTTTTATCATTAAATTTATTATTTATTATCAAATTATTTTATTAACCTTTTTTTTTTTATCTAAATATTAATTATACTATTTATTTTATTATTATTAATATCAATTTATCATTAAAAAAATTATAACTATCATTTTCTAAAATATTAACTTATTATTAAAATTTTACTATTTATAAAAAAAACTTATTATACTTAGTTTAAAAAAGTTTACAGTAAATTTTATTTTATTATTATTATTTTTTTCATACTTCGTATTCATAAAAAATTAATAAATTACTTAAATAAAAAATACGTTCTTTTTTTTTATGCAATGTATTCATTAAAAATTTAAAAATTACTTAAATTGTTTTAAAATTTTATACTTAAGATATTTATTTAAACAATTAATTAAAAAATTAAAGGTAAATTTATACAAATTCAATAAAAAATATGTCATCAAATTAGTATAATTTTTTTTATTATATATATTTTATTTCAATAAGAAGAATAAATTAATCCTGTAATTTGAATTTGGGATTGAAGGAAATTTAGTACAAAAATAAAAGAAATTAAGAAAGCTGTTGATTCAGTTTTCGCAAATGTAGTTTAAAGGTTCGTTTGATCGTCAAAAGGTTAAACAGGCAGGTGGACCCAATTATTTTTGAATGGTTTCAACTTTCATAAAGAAGAGATTTTGTATATAATCATTCATTCAATTATCAATATATTATCAAAATTTTCAATGAATTTTCTTTTTTCTTGTAAAATTGGGATACCACATTTGATTAAGGTAATATTCATTCTTTGTTAAAGAAATATTATATACAAAATATACTTACTTGTAAATTCATACATAGTTCACTTAATCACATTATGTGTCTTTGTGTTTTCTTTTTGTACCTAAAGAAGCTTACAGGGATGACAATTTCTCCCGATCTGTCTCTTATAGGACAGATTTGGTAATCCCATAAATGTGTTTAGGGCGAATATGATAAAATAATTAAAACTAGAGGTGACAAAGTTTGACACGACTTGTCAGCATAACTCGAACACGATACGAGTTAAACGGGTTTATGTTGACCTTCAATGGGTTTGGGTCATAAAAGAGTCGATACAATTGTTTAGTTAATCGTATCGTGTTTGGGTTGAGGAGTTGAACCCGCATAACCTATTTGTACCCATTTAATTGTACGTGTCATAAACAAATTTCTATTTAAGTTCGAAAATAACTATCTAAACTTTTATCTTATAATTTATTCTTTTGTAGATTAGAGACTATTTAGTAATTTGGTTAGATTGATACTTATATTTTTCTAGTATTTAATGTTTTATAGAGTATTATTAATAATTTAAATAATAAAATATTTAAATTTATTAAATTGATCATTAAACGAGTTAGACATGTACCTCGTTTAATAAACAGGTCGAGTTAGTGTTGAAGGTTCTTGACACGATTATTAAATAGATTGTGTTCGAGTTGAACTGTTTAGTAGAATACTCTTATATAGACACGACAGGATTACTACCTGCGAACACCAATTGCCAACCCAACTTGCCATCCTAGCCGCCGATGACACCTTTCACTCTCCACGGTAATTTTGACTTGTTTTGATGTCACGGCTCACCTAAGCCACTATCGGCTCGGCTAATTCTAAGCCTCCAATCACGCGCTCTCTCAAAGCGTGAAAACAACTGTCTTCCATTCAAATTTGCCTCGCTCGCACATCTCATGTGATCGCTCTGTTTTAAAGCCGCTTTTGAAACTTCAAACTTTCCTCGCGGCTACACACACAAACACTACACTATAATTATGTCACTTCGAGCACAATAATTCATGGTAACCCATTGTCTTTCTCTCTCTACTCCTTACTGAAGGACAATACTCTCTCTCTCTCTAGAAAATTTCTCTCTTTTCTCTCTCCCTTCCTCCCTGTCCCTGCTTGGCTCTGTTCATCCGTCACTCTCTCATTACCTGCAATCACACTAGGAGAAACCTCTGCAATTCAGAACTGATTCGAAAGCAATGTCTCTCTGAGCTCTTATCTTTGAACAGACACATATAAACACAACAACAACGCATTGCTTTATTTCCTTCTCTCTCTCACTGCAATCTGAATTTTGTTCTTGATCTTCATAGAGTCCTTCCATCTGGGTCTCTCCCAAATCTATCAATGGAAGCCCCATCGCCCATTTCAACCCACCAAATCCTTCAATTCCAAGACAACCCACAACCAGAGTCCTCTCCAAAGCCTCAACCTTTCAAGAAAAACTTCGTCACTTCTCTAATGGAGGCTGCAACACTACGCACCCCATCATTCAAAGAAGACACATACTTCGTCTCCCACCTCAAATCCTCAGAGAGAAGAGCACTTCAAGAGCTCAAAGACAAGCTCATGACTGCTCACGGCCCCGATTCGATGTGGGATGTTCCTCTTCTGGGTGGAGACGAGAGAGCAGATGTGATACTTCTCAAATTTCTCCGAGCCCGAGACTTCAGGGTCTCGGATTCGCTTCCGATGCTTCTCAAGTGCCTTGAATGGCGAAAAGAGTTCAATGCAGATAACATTGTGGACGAAGACTTGGGTTTCAAAGAGCTCGAAGGGGTCGTGGCGTACATGAATGGGTATGACAGAGAGGGACACCCTGTGTGTTACAATGCTTATGGGGTGTTCAAAGACAAGGACATGTATGAGAGGATATTTGGGGATGATGAGAAGCTCAAGAAATTCCTGAGATGGAGAGTTCAAGTCCTTGAGAAAGGGATCAAGCTTCTGCATTTCAAGCCAGGTGGGGTTAACTCCCTCATTCAGGTCACTGATCTCAAAGACATGCCCAAAAGAGAGCTTAGGGTCGCCTCTAATCACATCCTCTCTCTCTTCCAAGATAATTACCCTGAAATGGTCGCCCGTAAGGTACCCACGTTTTTTTAGTTTAATTTTTTTTTTTCACTGTTTAAATTTGTTATCTGATTTGCTAATTATTTTCTTTTTCTTTGGTGGGTTTTTTGGGTATAGATTTTCATCAATGTTCCATGGTACTTTAGTATGTTGTATTCAATGTTCAGTCCGTTCCTAACTCAGCGAACTAAAAGCAAGTTCGTGATCTCAAAGGAAGGGAATGTTCCGGAGAGCCTTTACAAGTAAGACTTTTTTTTTTTTTTTTTTTTTTTTTAAACTCATTCTACTTTAATTTCTCACAACATTTTCGATCTGAAAAAAGTTTTCTGCATATCATTAATTACTTTGCTCGTATCTGGTTTGTTTTGAAATTTCCCACTTGCAGGATTCAATTAATTTATGCTTGTATATTTTTCATTCTAGGTTTGTCTTTTACTAATCTGTTGAAAGAATTAAGAGCTGTCTCTCTGTCTCTCTATATATATTCTATATACATTTGTGTATTGTTTTCTTGTGTATGACATGGAATGGGCCTTTTAAATTCTTCTGGTTAATTTGTTTGTTTATTGTTATTATTTTCCCCTTCTGAAGAAGGGTGAAGGTTCTAACTTTGGATGTGTTACTTACTAAAAAAAAATTGGTTTATTCTCCATTTTAAGGTTTAATTGAATGGAATTTGAAGAGAGTTTTGTTGTCGGTTCAGGTTTATAAGACCAGAGGATATTCCAGTTCAATATGGTGGACTGAGTCGATCCAGTGATTTGCAGAATGGTCCTCCAAAACCAGCGTCCGAGTTCACGGTCAAAGGTGGAGAGAAAGTCAACATCCAGATTGAGGGCATCGAGGTTCATAAATTTTGAACTTCCATCAAAGGGCCTTGAATTTCCATCATTTTTCCTTCTGTATTCATTAACTTCATCTGTATCCCTTCATTGATTTGCATTCATTGTTAATTTCAACATAATAATTTGGTATGATTTGAACAAACTTGCTAATAGAGGACATGTATTTATTCGCATTGTTAAACTACCCATTTAAAGTATAAGAGTTCACATTGCCAGCTGGAATAAGTTCTTGTGCTTGTTACAATTGAAATATTATAGTTTGTTTTATTGAGAGTATGATAAATAACCTGAAACAGCTTATGATAAATTTGTTCCTAATTATGATTGTTGTTGTTTATTTGGGTAATTAGGCCGGTGCAACAATTACATGGGACATAGTGGTGGGATGCTGGGATTTGGAATACAGTGCTGAGTTTGTGCCGATTGCGGAAGGTAGCTACACCATTGCTGTCGAGAAGCCGAGGAGGATTGCCCCTGCCGAAGAGGCAATTCACAACTCGTTTACTGCGAAAGAGGCTGGCAAAATGGTGTTGTCCGTCGATAACACCGGCTCAAGGAAGAGGAAGGTTGCAGCTTACAGATACGTAGTCCGCAAATCCACAACAATCTAGTAGCTTTTAATGAAGAACTAGGGTTAACTACCTTTTGTTTACTCGTGTTTTGTTCTATCTGGGGGGTTTAGTTCAGTTATGCTTGTGAAATGTGAACTTAATCTATATATATATAAATCTAGTTTCTTTTATCAATAACTTTTTACCTACTTGATTGTACTACTATGATGTATAAAATGGTGGTATCATATCGCTTAATATAGAAGAAAAGCAAATTAACTTTGATCAGGCATGTGCATGTGTTTCTCTCTTCATTGGAATATGTATGTATTTTGTAATTTAAGCGAACCAAATGCTATAGCCTTTCATATTTGGATTGTTTCCCACACGCATCTCGTATATACCAAGTTGGATTTGATTCCGTATGCGGTTTATCAGTGTTTTAGGGTTAAATCGTTTTGAACCGATTCTGGGAACCATCATACCAACATATATTTGCACAAATTATTCTATGACTAGGGCATCAGTTATTTATAGTTGTTGGATTGAGAGTTTTAAGGACATGAACAATACATGTAAAGAGAAACATTTGAAGATTAATAAACATTCTCAGAAAAAACTGATCAGTTTTTTTTGGCAGTTGACATGTTATTATATGATTGATACATCCAACTGTATGATGACGACACATCATTTGTGATGACCCATATAACACTATAGATTATTTCTTTCGTCATTTCAAGTAAGTTGACAACTATCGTTAGGACATGTAGATTGTGGCCACCAGAGCCTGAACTATGTGGGGACTGGGGACATCCTTGTTTTTGGAAGTTCATACTCTGGTTCAAAAATTATAAATATAGTAGTTCTTTATTATTTATTTCTTTTTATACGCTTATTTATTATATAATCAATAATAAATATAATCTTCTTAGATCTATATCTTCACAAGAATTCTTTTGTTGGAAAAAGTATTGCATTATAAATTTTTTTTTTTTTTTTTTTAACTTTATTTTCATACGACTAATTCGGCCTCTAGTACTGCTATATATTATGAATTTTTTTATTTGTTTGGCACAATGTAATTTTAATGGCAATATTGATGTAATGTATAAATTTTAGTAGGGAGAGAGGGAGAGAGAGAGGTGTGGATGTGAAAAAGAAAAAGAAAAAAAGAAAAGAGAAAAGGATTGTTTGGTGGTTTCGAAATCTGTTGCTTTGCTTACTTTTTGGGTTATCGAAAAGAAGAAAGCGGAAGGAGGAAATTGACCGGTCGCTGAAGTTTGGTGGGGCGGGTTTTGGAAGGTCTGGGATAGCGTATCAGGTAGATCACGGGCTTTAGTGTGAGCTTGAATTTTTCTACTGTGTTTGGGAAGAGGATAATGTCAAGAGAGTGCTGGGAAAAAAGAGAGTAAAATGTCAATCAAGGAAGGAAATGGTTCTTTGAGAATTTTGTTTAGAGAAATAAGGGGAAAAAGGGTATCTTTCAATTTTATGTCCATCTATTTACCTTTCCTTCAAAAAAAATGGAAACAAAAAGGGAAAAATGAATAAAAATACTCATAATCTTCATAGTTATAGAAGAGGAAAATAAATAAAAACTCGTTATCTTCATGGTTATAGGGAGCAGACATTAGCCCTTAACGAATATACTAAGATTCTCCACTTTCTATTTTATTTAAAATCAAAGAATACTTAATTTTTATATTTTTAATATCATAATTGTCTATCTAATTATTGAATTCCAATTCATTCTTCTCCCACCTTCTTTTTTTTTTTTTTTTTTTTTCCACAAGAAAAGAGAAATATTATACGCTAGAATTTCTTTTGAATAACATTGATAATTATATTTAATCTAAGGATGAAGAGGAATAATATATATACAAACATACATGGTAAATATATGTACATTATATTATATACTATTACTTAAAAGTTTAATCACATAAAAATATACTTTTTACTATTCCCTTTTAAAACAAAACAAGCTTTTTTTTTACCTGATTATTGAACTATGGTACGTAATTTCAATTTATGTAACTTAGGTTTCTCTTTTATGTTCAATTCAATTAAAGATAACTTCTGAAAAAAAGGAAAAAAAAAATCAATTAAAGATTAGGTAGATATTGGTTTGCTTTCATGTTAGATTCTAGGGTTAATTTAATAAAAAACACATTAGCAAGCCTTACTTATTAGAATGTAAACACCAAAAAATAAACTCATCAAAAAATATTTTAGGCAGAAGTAATTACAAATTTGTCAACTTTTACTGATCATGAATATATGGAGACCAAATTACCCTTAAATACTTTCTAAAATTAACTAAACGATTCTTACTTTTAATTCCATCTCATCTCTCTAACCATTACCAATCTGAAATTTACTCTCTTTCTCACCATTTGCAGAATCAGGGCACATTTATGTGCTGAGAGACCCATTTTAGACTTGACCCATTTCGAACCCTCATCTTTCTCTATATTTTTTTTCTCTCTCTCTGTTTAAGAATCTTAAAACAAAGACCCATTTCAGATAAGAATTTTCCCATTCTATTTCTCATCTCTTTCTCGCTCTATATGTTTGTTATTTGGGTTAAACATCTGGTCATTAAAATTGTTCATTTTCATTCAATTCATCCCAAAGTGGCAACATGGTTCACGCATACTTTAATAGCCATTACAAGACTTAAAGTTACATAAAAAAAGAAAAGAAAAAGGTACATAGTTACATTTACAATGCCACAATTTACAAAGCTTATACATGTCATGTGCCAAGGCTTTACAAAATTAAGATCTGGTTACAAAAGATGCCAAAAATAATCATCTAGTCCCACTTAAGCTTGTGAAGGAATGTCGTCCGCCATTTTTTTCCCGTGACCTGAATAATGGTTATAATTGGGTGAGTACAACGGTTAAGCAGGAAGTGCCTAAAATCCATCTCTTAATGATTTCGTGAATCCAAACAAAACATAGAAAATAGAGAAGGGATCATCCTCATTTGGGGAAGATAAATCACCATACTAATCCGACAAAACCTACGAAAACGTAATGCCATATAATGCAATGCCAATGTAATGAAATGACACTCCCGTTACTTTTCAAACCATTACCAAATCCAACAATTTCAAACCAACCCGGCCCATGGCACCATAAGAGAAGGATTAGCTAACTATTCCTGATCTTAGACAACTCCTTAGCGTCATTTGGGACCTAGGTAGCTCAATCACGCTAGAGCAGTTTTCCTAATTCTCTCTAGGTCCCATTAATGCCACAGATACAAAACAACTCATTGCCATCTGGTTTTCGCAAACAAATTTCCAAATCATTTTCTTTCCTCATTTTTCTCTCCCAGCCACAGATTCTCTCACTCTCTAAAATCAAGCCTTGATTTCATCTATTTACTTATAGATTTTGACTTTGCCACTGAAAGACAAAGTTAAAGAGCATGACCAAAGCTTCAAGTTAATTGGAGCCGATTGTCATTTGGACCACTTTGAAATTTTGAGATTTGGGGTTAGATTTAGGGCTTTTCTCTAATTTTGAGGTAGGGGTTCTAAAATTCAATCCATTGGGTTTTTGTGAGTTATTCTCCTATTTTGTGTTATAACATGCTTTGATTATGATTTTTGTTAAGGTATAACATCAATGTTTATGTGACAATATGTAGAATTATATGTTACTTGTAGTTTTATGAAGATATATGCTTGAATGATGTTATTACATGCTCTACATATTTAAAATGCTATAATTGATGAGTTGATTGTATGAGAAATTATCATGTTAATTATTTCTAAAGTATGTAATTAAGATTGTGGTTTAAATGTGTGAATCTTCATGGCATTGATATGCATGTAATATTCATACATGGCATCGGGCAAGAAAAGGGTACCAACTTTCAGAACTCACACGGCATATTCCACAGTGTCTGACGTGTACAACGAAACGAGAAAATAAATAAATTCGAAAAATGAAAAAAATGAGAAACAGACACTATATAAGTGCCATTAATGGAACAAATTATGAGATTCTAAAGAGGCATTGCATCAGAATTTGAGTCCATCGGGTAGAAAATTCGATCTCTACAGTAATTAATTCCATTAATCTCCACCCGAGTTTTTATCTCCATTAAATAGTTTGTTAATGTTTAGCTATAGTATTGCCCTGGCGTATATACACACTGCTCAAAGGAATGAGTTAAAAAATAATCTCTAGTTTTCGGATACTTCAATGTTTCTTAAGAATCAAAGTTTTCAAAATAATCTTTACATGATACTTCAATGTTTCTTCATGGAAGTTTAATGGGAAATGAAAGTACCAGACATTATAACTTCATAAAGTGGTTGATAATGTTCAAGATTTAAGCAAACTGAAACAGAACCGTAACTAAAATATCAAATGGAAAAAAATAAGGCAAGATAGTTTTTTACCCTTTGGAGGCTTAATCTTATTCGCCAAACAGTTATGTTTCGTTTGGTTTGAGGGATGGAAAAATTGATGGAAGAGATAGGGGGATGGATGGATGAGGAATTCCTAAGAAAGAGAATGTGTCTCTCTCATTTTTTGTTTGGTTGAATGAAATGGATAATAGAAAGGATGTATTGAATGATGCTTTTTTTTTTTTTGGTTAAAAGGAAAGGAAAGAGAGTTTTTATATATTGTTTATCAATTTAACCTCACTTATAAAATAATAAAAGGATAACTCCATAAAAAAAAAAAGCTAAATATCTATTTGAATTTTTTTTTAAAATGTTAAAATTGAAAATTGTATATTTATCGGTAGTTATTCATTTTCTCTCTCCTCCCTTCCCCTCAAAATTGAAGGGATAGAAAAAAAAAAAATTGAAGAAAGGTCCTCCTTCTCTTCACTTCCCTCCAACCAAACACAAAAAGTTTCATCCTTCTATTATCTCATCTATCCATGTTCCGAAAATCTATATTAAGTGCCATTGTGCAATAATATGGTGTGGACACCTTCTTAAAAGCTCATTATATCTCTCTCAAGCATCATGGAACTGTTACAGCCTCCAATGCAAATGTTGTTTTCTCTTTTGTAAAAGGGATGTTGTGTACTCTCTATGATCCTCTTTAGTGCATGCTCTTCTGTATCGTTGGATGTGGAAGAATGCCGTCAACATGATGATAGCCACACTCCTCTTGTCCCCATCACTCCCATTGAAGAAGGCATTCTCATTTCCATGGGAATATAGTACTTGATAACACTCCCATTGGATGTGGAATGTTGAATACAGGCGTTTCTGTGGTCTCTTAATCATTCCCTTCAATCAAACATAGCATTAGCAAAAAGGCCTAACGCTCCTTTGGGAGGGACATATTTGATATGGATATACCTCTTACCATTATAATACATGTGCATGCATCAAACAACCATGTTTGTATCGCAGAGGAATTAATGGATCTTGCGTAGGATGGATCCATCATACCAACTCAAGGCCACTATAAAATTTTGATACCAACTTAAAACATATATGATACCAACTTAGTCTTACTTAAAGGGATTTAAATTGTACTAAAAAAACAAAGCTTCTATATCACCATTGTAAATATGTTCCAACAAAATTTTATCAAGTGATAACATTGAATGTTTTTTGTTTTTTTCTTAGATGTGAAAGTTGTGCTAATACTAAAACGGCTACACATACCCTGATTCAGCTTTTTAATATGATTGAATAGATTGGAGTTCATGGTACACCTGGTCTGGACCTTGGCCAGTTGGGCTACCATTATTTTATGCCCCATGACAGGTTGGGTTTTGAATTTGGAAGCTAGTGGGCTTACAATATTATGATTAAGTTGGAACCTTTGAAAATAATTGTGCGGTAATGGGCCAACTAAATATATAAGTGTATTTTGACACATCACAAATATAGTGCTCCGTGTAGAAATGTTATGTCAACTTTTGACACATATAAGGCTACGTGTAGAAATGTTATGCTTTCGATTTGTATATTAATACAGAGAGAAGTATTTAGTTTTTGAACCTCTCTGTTTACAGAATAATAGGAAAGAGCGGTTATACTATCGTTCATATCATATTTGCAGTTTTCCACCTTACAGATCTGGTACAAAGATGAACGATTGTTAAGGTATTTCCAGCTATTTAATCTCTTACCTAGTACTAATGATCTTATTTCACTCTCAGTCTCACTTTTGTAGCTTCTTGTTACTTCTGTCTTATATATATATATATATATATGAATCTCTTGCTCAGAGACCATTAATAGCTAAGATTAGTCTCTAGAATTCTTTCACATATATATTTACAAAGTCTACAAAACTTTATAATGTTCTAGAATTTTTTAGCTGGCATGTACGACTATGCATAAGACTTCCTGATAAATTTATAAAGGTATGAAAATAATGTTTATCATGTTATTTGGTAAGAGTGTGAAAAAATGACTTGTTTTAATATGAATGCAGGGTGGATGGACACGTGGATACAGCTTCGGCGTGTATGTTCAAGAAAATGTATATAACCGATTTGAAGTCTAGCAAAATAATATAAATGGACTGGCAGAATTCCTGAACCATGTTGTGCGGGCAACACAAATGTTGGTGATTCAATAGTGGTGGAATTTGCTGCAGGCGACGGTTGCAAAGGATAGAATGGCTCTTGAATCTGAGTGGCCGAAGAACTTTTGATCCATGTTGTATAAAAAATCCGATGGTGGTGTGTGGGCATGGGAATTTGATTCATAGAAAGAGAAGTGGAATAAAGGGCATTCCATAAATACAATATATGGAATCCAATACCACATGCCACCATTGGATTTTCAATACCATATATGGATCAGGAGTTCTTCCAGCCACACGTTCAACTGCCATTCTATCCTTTGCATCGGCCCTTGCAGCAATTTTCACCACTATCGAATCACCAAGGTCGCCTCTACAACATGGATCAGGAGCTCTTCCCGTCGGTGCACATTTGTAACTTTGTGTTTCATGATACTTTATATATTTGTCTGGGAGGGTATGGAGCTTGGTACTTTAGACATGAGTGGAATGTAAAAGTAGTGGTCTGTCTGATAATGTAACTACGGAGGAACGTTTATTAATGTTTGTTGTGTAACTGTGTTTGTAATGTTTAATTATGCATGGATGATACTTCGTTTTTCCATGTACTAACGTGTCCGATATTCATATGCCGAGTCCCTAACCTTTGTTATTTCTTCCGGCTTACATTTATAGACTTCATAATATCTACCCAAATTAAGTAAATGTTCATCCTCTCATGGCGCTACAAACATTGAAAATAAACATTTTTTTTTTTTAACACCGTAACATTGAACTTTGCAGTCCCTTTTATAAGCTCCAAATAAAATGACAGTGAATCCATCTTCCCAAAAGGCATTGCAGGACAAATTCCCAGTCAATCAAATAAAACAAATTCTAGAAAGATAAACAATCAATCAAAATGTGCATTATCTAAAAGAGTACATCATACTTTCCCACAGCTTACACAATAATGTTTGGTTAATGAGAAAATATGTGAGTTTTGGACAGAATGAGAGAAATAAAAATAAAAATAAAAATAAAAAATAAAAAATTGAAATGAATAAAGTGGATGGTGTTCCCAACATCAATCAACTACTTAATTGTTTTGTCCTTAGCTACTTATTCTCTGTTTGTTATGTTCACCTTCATTGTGGATTTACTTCCTCCCCAAAATGGTACCATTCGTTGCTAACCTTCAAGGTGAGACCGTATCATTAATCTTTAAAAATTAACTCTTTCACAATATTTTTTCTCAATTTATCATTTTCTCTTTGATGTGTATTTCATATTTCTTGTTAATTTTTCATTTCTAATTATTAAGGTTGTAAATTTTCTTTTCATTTTTCAAATTATATTTTTCTCAAAATATATACCAAAAACTAATACTACTTATTATTAAAAAATTACATTGTAATTGATTTATAATTTTATTTCAAATTTTAATTAGTTAATTTAAACATAACTGATAATTAGGACTGGGCAAAAAATCCGCGAATCCGTGGATCTGATTCGTACGGATCGGATCGGATTGCTAAACCCACGGATCGGTGGTGGATTAAAAAAATGTGAATCCGTAGTTCACGGATCGGATTACGGATTATCCTGTCAAAAATCCGATCCGATCCGTGGCTAATCCGTATGTATATATATATATATATATATATATATTATACAATATAATTAATTATTAATTATTTATTACTTTGGGAGTTGACCAGTGGACCACCCACAGATTTGTAGAGCAAAGAGAAATCAGAAAAACAATTCATTAAGCACACATAGCTATTAGCCTAGCTATTAGCTTCATCTTTTCAGTGTTAGAACAAGTCCCCAGTAATTGAATCTGAAATAATCTTTAAGCATCTGGATCTGAAATAAGCATCTGGAGACCACAGTGTTGCTTGGAATTGAACAAGTCCTCTCTCGAGAGGGAGATCACAGCGAACCAAGGTCACATGGCTAGTGAAGAGTCCGTTGAATCGGTTTAAATTTCTTTCAGATTTAGGGTTCGGTTGCGACCGAAGAAATCAGAGACTACCAACAGCTGATTGTTCTTGTTCTCGTTGATGATGAATCGATGAGATTGAGAATGATTTGAAAAAGAAAATCAACGTGATGGAAAGGTTTGGGTCTCATTTGTTGTTGATGATGATGATGAGAGAGAGTTGAAGAAGAAAGAATGACCCTAAGAAGAGATCGGAGAAGAAGAAAATCGGTGGATTAGACGCATGCGAAAAGATTGCGTAACCACATGAACCCAAAGAGAGATTGGAGAAGAAAATGGAGATGGAGATGGAGATGGAGATGGAGATGAGATCTGCGGATTGGATCCGATCCGATCCGATCCGATTCGTAGGCTAACGGATGGGTGGCGAATTCGAAATCTCCCAATCTGTTACGAGCGGATCGGATTAAAATTTATGCCTAATCTGATCCATGGCTATCCCTACTGATAATTACCTCGTTTTGTGTACTTAAAAAAAATAAAATTAAAAATTGACAAGATTCAAGTTGTCGGTGTATAATATTTTCTGATAAAAGAAGCAGGCAGCGTGTTGAAAGGGACATCTGTATGTTAGTATGTGCAACATGGCATTTTAATTTCGAACGTGTCCTCCATGCAATATTTTTCTGTTCGTGGTGTATTTATGTTTTCTTACCAATTTTTCTGTATATAGATTTAGAACCGACTGTGTTCATAATCGTGTGTGTGTGTATATATATATATATATATATATATATATATATATAAAATTTCACGACTCTGTCACAGAGAAAAGAATGTCTAAGGCAACGTTTACTCCACAGAATTAACATGTAGAAACGTTTAGACTACCCAGCGGTCACACCATACCTGCTGTTGGATTGGGAACATGGAGATCTGGTGCTCAAGCCGCTAACTCCGTCTTCACTGCTATTGTTGAGGTATTTTCTCACTAAAAGTGGTGACTGCAAAATTTTCACTTTTCACTCACTCTCAAATGAGACTCTACCTATATACATTATACAATGGACGTCTAGATATCTCCATATGTACAAATTTTATGCTATTCTAGAATCAACCAACTTTTAGCAACAAACTCTACAATATTATAAAATTCTCCGTTCCTTCTGCAGAATTCTTCTCAACCCTTTATTAAGAAAATAGATTAACTGTTTTTATTATTTAATTGGACATGTAATTAGTGATACGAAAATCTTGTTTTAGAAGGAGACTTTTCACTGTATGGTGTAGTTGTTAACCTACTATTCTGTCTCCTGAGATTGGAGTGAAATTATTTTGGAATCAAATTGATGTTTATAATCTTATTTCATAAGAGAGGTAATAACACGGTTGTTTATTTTAATATGAATGCAGGTTGGATACAGACATGTGGATACAGCTCCAGTGTATGGAGTTCAAGAAGACGTAAGTTTTAGTATCTATCTATATAGTTTATTTTCACTCATCTGTCTACCGTCGCATATAATGACCTCAATATCTATATTTTATGATTCCTATATATATATATATATATTTGTCACTTTTGTGATTCATGATACTCTCTCTATGCATATATATATATATATTTCAGGTAGGGTTTGCAATTAAGGCGGCCATCAACACAGGAGTGGAGAGGCGGGATCTTTTCATCACATCTAAGATATGGTACACAGATTGATCCCACTCTTAAATCAGTTTAAGTTGCTCTATAGATTGAATGGTAGAGTGCAAATTAATGACGCATTTTGTGAATTTTTGTGATGGTAAAATATAGGTGCACAGATTTGTCTCCGGAGGGGGTTAGACCTGCACTGATGAAAACTCTTCAGGAACTACAACTTGACTACCTTGATCTCTATCTGGTAAAATTATAAATTGTTTTTTTTTTTTTTTTTTTTTACTCTCTCTCATATATGATTATTGCAAGCTCTTTATTGAGAACCAAGAGTGTGTTGTGATTGCCCTACAGATCCATTGGCCGGTTCATCTGAAAGATGGAGCCAGCATGCCTCCAAAGGCTGGCGAAGTTTTGGAGTTCGACATGGAAGGAGTTTGGAGAGAAATGGAGAAGCTTGTCAAGGAAAATCTTGTTAGAGACATTGGCATATGCAATTACACGATTAAGAAGCTCAATAAACTTCTGAGTTTTGCTCAGACAATGCCTTCTGTGTGTCAAGTGAGATGATTAATTAAAGCCCTGTTTCAGTTTTGTAATAGAGACCGAAGAATAGAAGATTCTCATTACTTGAACCCACAAAGTGGCATCATCATCTTGTTGGGATTTGTATGCCCTAGCATAGCAAATTCCTCTCTGGATTAATGTGACATAAGTTCCTGATGTTTCTGAAATATTTATACTTTATACAATTGGTGAATTCAATGTATTATGTTCATTATAGAATTGATAGTGTCCACTTGATTACAAAAGATATTTATATATGTATATGATGGCAATCAATACATGAATATAAATAGTAATCATAAATGGTTCATAGTCGGTAATTATGGATGAACTCATAATTAATTAAGATTTGAACTGGACTCGCGTTAGGTTGAGATAGATTGCGTGAGCCATCGTATGCAATTGCTCCCTTTCACCGTCATGGCATTTGACTTTTAAGCATGAGAAAAGTATAAACTCTTTTATTAATTAATAATTACTTTGATTTGTTCAGCGGATTCTTCAGGATCCTTAGACTGACACTTTGGGTAGTTATGTAATTAATAGTTAGAGAGTTATATTTTCAATATTTGCATCATTACTACTTGTATTTATTTTGTATTGATTATGGTTGATCACAAAATAAATTCGAAGGCCTTCGTGTGTTTTTAGGCAAAATGATTCATTATATATTTATTTATTTAAATTATTATTTTTGTCAAACAAATGTTTTATTGTGATCGAGTCAGAAATAATCAATGGTACCAAAATAAATATATTAATTAAGTAGTCGGATTGATGGCTTTATTTATCCGATAACTAATTATGTGATGCGACCCGAGCGTGTGCACAAAATAATGCACAACACTTTGGTTTTGGAAATGGTATCAAGCGGGCATCATAGTTTACATTTGTAAACCGCTAGACACTTATACTATGTAGTATGAAGTGAGAAGGGATCGAACCCAAGGGATTGAACACGTGTTGGGACTAAACTTGATTTTAATGCTAATTAGATTGTAAAAGAGAGGAGAGAGAGAGAGAAAGAGTGTGAGAGAAAAATATTTTGGTAGAGTGATTAAACTAAAATTCAATTAAAAGCATGAAAATAGAAATGACATTAAACTAAGAATTAAAGAGATAGGAAGAGAGTCTTAGGGTTAGGATTCACCACTAAGCCCATGCAATTAACCATATGCTTTCAATTAATGGGGAATTTATTAGTGTAATTATAGATGTGGTTACATTATCATCACAAATCACAATTGTAAGCATAGATTATCAACATCAAGAATGAATTGTCTACCTAATGACAATTAAACTAAAGTGTAGAACCCATTCAAGACTACGTCATAACCCACCATACACATTCACAAATGTATCCAATAAGAGCACATATCAATCAAGAAGATAATACTAATTGTAATTAGAAGCATGGATTAAAACAATCAAGCACAGATTGCCTACTTTACTACAATTAACTAATGACAAATAAGCTAATTTGTAAAACAATCTATCATGATTAAGCCTTTATCCATCAAATTAATTGACAGTTGTATCAACTAAGTCTCATGCTATGGCCATCACTAAACACAACTAAAAGAAGTATCTAGTGTAGAGTATAATTCTAAATCAATCACACCCAGACATGCAATTTTCATATAGAATCAATGGAAGAATTAAATTCTAATCATCTAATGAAGAATAAAATCCCTAATTAATCATACATAGACATACAATCAATTGGAGATTTCAATGGAAGAATTTATCAATACAAACCCTAATTTATCAAATCAAGCATGTATATATTAAGAAATCGTAAGGCCAAACAATTTAATTACAACATAATAATTCCCTAAGAAAAGAAATATAAAGGTTAGGGTTACATGAACTTAGGGCTCATCCAAGCCCTAAGTGAAGAACTAGCTCATGGAGGAGATGATCATGGTGTCAACAAGTCCTATCTCCATCTTTTGGCCCTTCTTCTTCTTCCTTCAACTGTAGACAAAGCCTCTGTAAAAAATATTCTTGAAACCCTCGCTTTTTTTCTTCCTTTCGTTTTCTTCCTGAGAGAACGATATCACGATACAGATTAAAAAAAAGAAATAAAAATAACTTAATTCTCCAAATAATAAATCACTAAACTAATAAATACTAACCCTAAAAACAATGGGCCTTACTGGGCTTAAGTAATAAACCTATTAAAGCCCACTAGGTTACAAAATAAGCCCAAACATTAAAATAAAAATATGCAATGTTGCCAAGTCCTGGGGGATTGATCCCCCACCCTGGGGGATCGATCCCCCAGGGTTGGAAAATTCCTTTAAGCCTTATTCAGCTCCATTTTTGCCCCGGGCTATTTGGTTTGCTTCTCCATCTTTGGGAACATCATCAAAGGCCCGAGATTGACCGCTTTGTGCCATTTTCTGAAAATCTTTGCTTAACTCCAAAAAGGCTTAATTGGACCGTTCTTAACTCATTTTAACTTTATTGCCCTGAAATACACATAAACATAAATTAGGACTAAAACATAAACTTAAGATAGATGCAAAGACTGAAATACCCTAGCTTAGGTTCTGAAATGTGCAACATTTAAGCACTTATCACACCCCCAAACTTAGATATTGCTAGTCCCTAGCAATGAACTACAACATGGAAATGAAACAAACATATATACAACTATGAACTAATTAAGCAAATAAAGATAACACCACTTTCGTAGGGATCACGGTTGCATTTAGCATATGCAACAAGCCTTTTAAACCCCTAGGTTACCCCTAGTGGACGAGTGAAGTCTCGTGAGGGTTTTCAGAAATGGTACCCACAAACATCAACAGCTCTTTCTTACTTGAGAAGTAACGACACATATCAAATAAGTGTTTAAAGTAGACTACTTCAAGTATGCAAATTTCTGCCATTTCTAAGCTATTCTCAATATTTCAACATCATGTAAGCAAAAATGGTCCTCCACACATCAAGCAAGTTAATCATGCAAATTGAATCAATTTTATCATCCTTTTTTAGTGAACCGGCATCAAAATGTGTTGCTATCCTAGCAAATCAAAGTAATGGCATAGCCTTACCCTCAAACTAGCATACAGATATAGTACCAGACATCAAGACATTGAATGAACCTTGTTATTCAATCAAACATTTTTTTTTATTTGATTTAATCAATTTTATATATATATATGTATGACCATGTGCAATGTCCAAGTTCCTTAAGCTCTCTAATCACCCCATGTAACAAGCGTTGAGCGAACGACTCCCAAACCAGATGGTCTTAGGGCGTTAAGTGTAAAGACACTCCTAAGGGCGTAATGACTCGGAATGACTAGGCTACGAACTCAAACTAATCATACATCTTACATTCTTTCCTTGTCTTCCTTTTTAATCAGTTGACATGTTGAAAGAATGCAGTTTTTTTTTTTTTTTTTTTTTTTTTGTTCCTCACCTTTGGTGAGTGCTTTTATTTTTTTTCTTTGCAAGGTCATTTTATCAAGAATGAAAGCTTCCAAAACATACTAGCTCAATTGGGATAAACCAAGACAATAATCAACTAAGCATGTACCCCACAAATTGAATGCTAATGTGCGCAAGTGCAAATGTAGAATTCTAGAATCAACTCTCAAAGCATTTTCAACCAACAAGATGATGTGTACCACAAGACCAAACATGATATCAAAAATTAAAAATTTACCCCTAAATGGCATCCTAGAGCACACAAGAAGTATTAGACTTTAACAACTTGTTTTTTTAAAAGTACTATGCTTCAAAAGTTCAAAATCATTGCCAAATACATCTCAAATCTCAATCATGCATTTAAAGCTCAACTTAAAGTAGAATGTAACAAGGCTACCTTACCCCCAAACTTAAATTGCACATTGTCCTCAATGTGCAATGAGAACAATGAAAGAAATGGAAAGAGTATACCGTGATGGCAAAAGTTAATGACGCCCGGCAATGATCCATGACGAAAGAGGTCTCCCTCAAACTTGGATGCAAAAACTTAGCCGTAGAACCATACTAGCAAACTTACATCAAATATCATATAGGATAAGCAATGCATACAATCAAAAACAATATAGAACAGGATGCAAAGAGATATGAGATGAAACCCTGGATAAAAGATGAACATGTATAACCAAGCATAAGGGTACACTAGTAACATATTTTTTATTTTTTTTTATTTTTTTTTGTGAAAAAGAATAAGTATACAAGACATAATAAATAAATAACATGGACTAAATTTAACGTCTTTAGTAAGACGGAATGCGACTTTGAAAAATTTTGATTTTTTTTTTTTTTTTTGGACATTTTAAAATAAATAATTAAATAAATAAAAACATTATTTCAAAATCTACTGAATTGGTTTTTTTTTTTATTATTTATTTAGTTTGAGTCAACAATTTAATTAAATTTTTTTTTTTTTTTGTTTTTTTTGTTTTTTTTTTTTTTATCATGAATGCACATTTTTTTTAAAAATAATCAAGTCCTTTTTTTTTTGTTTTTATTTATTTATTTTTAATCATCAATTTAACACTTTTTTTTTATTTTTTTTTAATTTTTTGTCTTTTTCTTATTTTTTATTATTATTATTATTATTATTATTTAATTTAATTTTTTTCATTTTTTATTATTATTTAATTTTTTTTTCTTTTCTTTTCTTATCTTTTCTTTTTCTTTTTCTTTTATTTTTTATTTTTTTTATTTATTGACAACACGTGCTCGCCGGAGAATGAAGCACGGCCGGAAGGAACCTGCAAACTCGCCGGCGAAGATCCCAGTCGAAAGCGCCGGAGAGATCCAGCCGAAATTGCCAGAGAAACACAGCCGCGATGCCGGAGAACGAGCAGCCGCGAATCGTTGACGAACCCAGCCGCGAATCGCTGGAAAACGAACAGATGGGACGCCAGAAAGACGAACAGAGGCGACGCCGGAAGACGAACAGCCGCGTCGCCGGCGCAGCGAACAAGCCGGCGAAATCTCTACCCAACAGCCTCAAACGTAACCCA